GTTCTCCCCCCGCAGTCCTCGGTGAAGCTGAAGCTGATCTGCGCCCAGGTGCTGCGGGACCTGCTGGGGGAGGCCATCGAGGTGAGTGGGGGCCCCCCCTCGTCCCCGGGGGTCGCCGTGCTGGAGGCGGAGTTGTAGCGCTCTAATTGCATCATTAGCAATAGTCCTGACTTTCGCATTCTTAATGCAAGCCTCGGGGTCCAGAACGCTACCGGCTGGTACTCGTAGTAATAAATATGGATGCTAAGGATTATTAGTATTAATGCCAAGATAAGAATTCTTAGGGTTAACGTTGGTAGTGAGCGCGTTAGGCGGCCGCACGGTACCTGGTATTTCCCCTGACATCCCGGCGCTCTGCTCTCCCGCAGTATGAGAAGATCCTGAAGCTGACCTCCGACACCAAGTTAGGTGAGCACTGCTGCCCCAGCCCCAACCAGGGTCCTCCCATCCCCGGGAAGCTGCACTCCAGGGTCGGGCAGCGATCTGGCAAGGGATGCCTTCCCGAGGCGGCGGAGCTAACCCCCCATCCGTCCCGCAGAGTCGGGGGACGTGAAGGCCACCATCGCCGTCCTCGGCTTCATCCTCTCCAGTGCCGCCAAGCACAACGTGGACAGCGAGTCCCTCTCCAGCGAGCTGCAGCAGCTGGGGCTGCCGAAAGGTAACAGGGAGGGGGGGACACCCTTGGGGTGTCACCAGGGGCCGGACCTGGTGGGATGTACCGGGGCTGAGCTGGCAGCCCCTGGCGCTGCTGCCTTCACGCCCAGACCAGGTGCGGGACGGCAGCCACGCCATCCTCCGTCACCTCCCCTCTGCACCATCCGTCCCCGGGGGGCTCCGCCAGGTGCTTCGCCAGGGTTTGGCCGCAGCGGGGCCGGGGTCAGCGCGTGGTTTTCTTGTCTTCTCTCTTCCCGCCCTGGGCAGAGCATGCCGGTGGGTTGTGCCGGTCCTACGAGGAGAAGCAGAGCTCCCTCCAGGACAGCCTCAGGGCCTGCAGCCTGAGACGTGAGTGCGGCATTGGGAGGTTTGGCGACGGTTTTGGGGGGTGGGTTTGGGGTTGATCACCCTTCCGGAGCGCATGCCAGGGTGCTGACGCCCACCCGCCCGCCCTAGTGAGCCAGCTGGGCTCGGTGGGCTGGCGGGTGGATTACACCCTCAGCTCCAGCGAGCTGCGGGAGGTCAACGAGCCCCTTGTGCACCTGACCTTCAACCTGCGGGACGGGGAGCGCGGCGGGATGGTGGCCGTCCCCGTGGTCCTCTCGGCCGACAAGTTCCGGGTGCTGCTGGCAGGTGAGGCCAGAGGAACCAGGGAACCCCCTCGGCCCAGGGGGTGGTGGTAGGGGGGGATGATGCCAGAGCCGGTTCCCCCACCGCCTCCATCCTCTCCCCGCAGAGCTGAAGCAGGCCCAGGCCCTGATGAACACCCTTCTCTGAGGAGCCGGGGCGGGACCTGGTGCACCCCGCTTTGGGGAGGTGGTGGGGGGGGGGTGGGGGGGAAAGGCGGGGGCAAGCTTTCCCTGGGGGGGAAGCTCCAATAAAGGTAACGGAGACCAGCCACCTCTCGCCCGTTTCTCCCCGCGGCGGGACTACAACTGCGGGCGGGGGCGGACTACAATTCCCGGCATGCACCGCCCGCCGCGCAGCCAATGGGAGGCGGGCGGGGGCGGGGCCTGGGCGTGTCTCCAGGGTAACCGGGAGGGCGGGCGGGCAGCGGGGCGCCCGACCGGGTCGCTCCGTTCCGGTCCCGTCGCGGCGATGCCCGAGTGTCCGGAGCTGCACCTTGCCGGACGGTACATCAACGAAGCGTGCGGCGGGATGGTGTTCTCGGGCGGCGTGGAGCGTTCGGAGGTGGGTAGGGGCCCGGAGGTGCCCTTCTCCAGCGAGGCCTACCGCATCTCGGCCACCTCCCGGGGCAAGGAGCTGCGGCTGACGCTGGCCCCGCTGGGCCCCGGCCAGCCCCAGGACCTCGTCTTTCGTTTCGGCATGTCGGGGTCGTTTCGGCTGTGCCCTGCCGCCCAGCTCCCCCGCCATGCCCACCTCCGCTTCCTCAGCCGCGAGAGCCCGCCGCGCGCCCTCTGCTTCGTCGACGCCCGCCGCTTCGGCTCGTGGCGGCTGGGCGACGCCTGGCAGCAGGGCCGCGGGCCCTGCGTCCTCTCCGAGTACCAGGCCTTCAGGTGAGCGTCCCACCGCCCTGCCCCGGGGAAGGCCTTCCCCCACCTCCCCAGCTTTGTTTTGGCCACGCGGCAGTGGAACGGCCATGCCCGGGCAAACCTTCCCGATGCCCTGTGTGCTCTCGTCGCAGGGAGAACGTGCTGAAGAACCTGGATGACAAGGCTTTCGACAAACCCATCTGCGAGGCCCTCTTAAACCAGAAGTTTTTCAATGGAATCGGGAATTACCTCCGTGCCGAGATCCTGTACAGGTGGGTCGAGCGCCTGCTGACCTGCCACGGAGGTTTGGTCTCCCAGAGCTTGACGGCTCCTCGGCTGGGCCTCCTCGCCTGGTAGACATGGGGAAGTGCCAGAACCCAGAGTTCAGGCTTGCATGTAACAGATGGACTCTTGCAGGTTGAAGATCCCTCCCTTTGAAAAGGCTCGGACCGTGCTGGAGGCCCTGAAGGATCAGGAGCAGGCGAGGAGGAAGAAGGTGGGGAATACCCGGTGCATTCGCAGGCTCAGAAAGAGGCAGGTTTCCAGGCAGACACCATACCAGGGATTTGTTTGTCTGTGGCCCTGCAGGACATCACGGCAGCTCCCTGGGGTCCTGGGAGCCTCTTGCTTTCCGTGCAGGGAGCCAGACTGAGCTGAGAAGTGTTCCTGATTTGGGTTGGGCTCAGCAGTGGTGGAGGTGGTTTAGTTTGCTTCCCGCCCCCAGTCTGGGCTCAGCCAGCTGCTCTGTTCTGGCTCTGCTTTGGGCTTAGCTGGGCACAAAGCTCTGGTTCAGGTCTGCTGTTCTGGGCCTGTTCCAGCCCAGGGTTCGGGGCCAGTTTCAGTTCGTGTTTGGTTCCTCACTCTGATGGGGCAGAACATCATCACGAGGACCTTGCAGAGCTCAGACAGCCTCTGCCCGCACCGCTGTCGGGAGGTATTTGCTGCTCTGAGTCTTTCCCAACCTGATGGCAGGCATTTTACCTTCACAACTGTAACGCTTGCTGCGTGGGATCCTCCTCAAGCATTTTACTGTCCTTTGCCATAAACACCCGTGTCTGAGCACATCTGCCCCTCCAATGGAGCGGCAAATGGGGCGCAGCAGTTCCGTAACCTCACGTGTGCGGTGCTCGTTCGCACGTGGCCAGGCTGATGAGCTGTGACAGCTCCCCGGGCACGTGCCTGCTTGCTGCACTGGTGCTCGGCTGTGCCTGGCTTCTGCCGTGAGGAAGTCTCCGGGTATATTTGAGGTGGGTGAAGAGGAAGGGGCGAGGGAAACAAACACCTCGCAAGCTTAAAATCTCTGGGGAAGGCTGCAATAGAGCCCGTGGCCAGCCGATCTCATGGCCTCGGGGGAGAGGAGGTGGCTATTTTAAAGGAGACTGAAAACAAAACTGCTGGTGTTCCTGTGTGCTAGCCCTCTTTCATATCTTTGTTAGCCATGGGGAATGTGCTGATGCGCAGTTCGAAGCCTACGAGGGGGTGAGCTCAGGGCTGGCACTTGTTGGGGCTGTGGCAGCTCATCCTCAGGAGGGCAAGAGGAGATGGGGAATTTGGCTGGTGTTGGGAAGGACAGACCCTGACGAGGCTGGGGTGGCTGGCAGGTGACTTCCCTCCCCTTCTCCACCCCTGCAGAATCCTTCCCTGACGCTGAGCAAGAAGCTGAAGCTGATGCGGGAGAACCCAGATCTCCTGGAGCTCTGCCACACCGTGCCCATGGAGGTCATCACGGCGGGTGAGGCAACAGGACAGGGAGCTGTGGGACGGGGACGGCTGGGGGTGGCGGGGGAGGCCCGGGCTTTGCGTTCCCAGCAGCAGGAGGCTTGGGAGGGCACCCCAACACCATGGTCACTGCTTCCTCTCTACTTCTGTCCTCTCCCTCTCTCCCTTTCCAGAGAAGCAGCTCCTTGACCCAGACCACTCGGATAACTACGCTGCTTTCAAGAACTGGCTGCAGTGTTACTTGGTGCCTGGCATGAGCTCCTTGCGCGACCGCAACGGCAGGACCGTATGGTTCCAGGTAGGGGTCTGGGGTCGCTGTCTGGGGCTGGGTGGCCCCCAACCACTCCTCCAAGGTGACACCAGCCCATCTTCTGCTTCCCGAGACCTCCCAGCCTTACGCTGCATCACTGGGGGTCTCCCTCTCTGACAGACTGCTGTGACCACTGGAGGTGAAGGTGACAGGGACCCTCCGTGCAGTGGCTAGCTGGCCAAGGGATGGCGGGCAGTCTGGAGCAGAGGGGCCGATTGCAGGAATGGGGGGGCTCAAAGTAGTCTGGCAGCCCTGTTCCTCCCTCATGCGCCCTGTGTCTGGGTGAGGCGCCGTGGTGGGGCCTTGCAGAAGGAGCGGGGGGCTAACAGGAGAGTCCCTGAGGCAGAGCAAGCTGGACTCCCCTGGCTTCTCGGGGAAGCGTGGCTGTTTCCCTATCACTGTCTTGGCTGCCGGGTGGAGAAGGGGCACGGATTCTGCTGCCGCTACCTGCAGAATGACTGTGCCCCAGTCAACGCTCTGTCGCCTTCCTTGCAGGGAGAGCCTGGCCCCATGGCTCCCAAAGGTGAGTGTCCACTGTCCTCCCTGCGGGACCTGCTCTTGCTCTGGGAGTGCTGGAGCCTGGGAAGCCCTGTGCTTGCTGCGCAGCGTGGGGGCAAAGGCAGGAGCAAAGCCTGCCCTCTCCCTGGGGTGCTGACTGGCCTGTGGTGGCCAGTGGCACTGGGGGATGGAGCCCGCTGTGCCTAAGGCTTCCTACCAGCACACCCGCCTGCCTGGGCACAGCCATTGCACCTTGCAGGGTGCTTTTCCAGGCCAATACCTACATCCCCTTCCTTGCCTGCCAGGCTGGTAGCAGGAGGGTGTGCTCTCCCTGGGGCTGCAAGCCTGAAAAGAGCAATGTTTTGGCAAGGGAGGGAATCTGGTGGGGGAGGAGAGGAGCTCCCTCAAGCCATTCTTCCACCCCAGTGCTAATTCCTCAGCGCTCAGCTCACACATCACCTGGGACAGTGTCCCTGAAAGGTCACTGTGCCGCAGCCTGTCCCTCGAGGTGCTGGCACTCTCTGCCCCATCTTCTCCTCACCCTGCCTAACCCAGCCATGTCTTCTCACACAGGGCAGACACCCCGCAAAAAGCGTGCTCAGCTGAAGGCAGATCCCGAGGCTCAGACCCCCAAGGTAAGAAGCTCTGTGGTTGTGGCTCCTGCTGGGTCTAGAGGCTGTCCTGTTCCCCGTGCCTTGCTCGGGCTGCTCCCAAATTCACGGTGGTGCTCCTGCCTGGAGTTGCTCATCATCTGGCAGTCCAAGCTCACTTCTGCTGCTAAGCTCCGGCTCTGATGTCCACCCAGGTCACCACACGTGCCTCAAAACAGCACCCCAGGGCTGCAGCAAAACGCCTGAAGTCGCCCAAGGAGGAGGAGGAGGTGGCTGACGGGCCAAGGAAGGGACGTGCTTGCAGGAGGAGGAAAGCGGCCACTGCTCCGGCCTCGTCCAAGCCTGAGGCGCTAGCCAAAGCCAAAAGAAGCTGCCGGACATCTGCGCGCAGGGGCAGAGGTGAGGCTGGCAGTCCCTGCAGCTTTCAAACGCACAGACGGGGGCTGTGGGAGCGCTCCCTCGTGTCAAGGGGACTGAAGGGGTGCCAAAAGGCAGGAAAGGAGCTGGCGGGGCTTCATGGGGCAGAACCGGGCACCCCCTCACCCTCTGACTTCTCATTTCCCTCTCCATCTTCCAGGTGCAGCCCCTGCCGTTTGAGTGCTACATGCTGCCCTCCTCCTGAGGGGCATTTTTAACAGCCGCAGGAGGAGCTCAGGGAGGGCCTGACTGGGGGCCTGGGTTGGTGCTGGGGAGAAATGGGGCTGCTCTGTACCTGTGCTCACGCCCGCTTGCTACTGCTGCATCCTGCCAGCGTGGGAAGGAGAAGCTGGGCTTGGTGATGGGGCCAATTTATCCAGCGTCCTCCTGTTGTCCCCAGGCATTTGAGGGTGTTAAGGGCCACAGACCACACATCGCACTGGACTCTGACCCTTCCCTCTGCCTGAAAATGGATTCCCTCTTCCTTCCCCTCTTCCCTTTCTGGCTGCTGCCTGGATCACTGTTTTTAGCTGACTAATAAAGTATTTTGTGTAGAAATCACCATGCACGCCTTTTTGTGCTAAGGATAACCCCTCTGTGCCCAGCCTCTTCCTCTGATGGGCTGGAGCAGGCTTCCCCTCCACCTCGCCCCCCCCCCAAAAATAAAGGTAAGCTCTGCCTCCCTAGTCCCAGGAGTGACATCCTGCTGAGGAGGATGCTCAGAGAGCAGCAGCTACAACAGAGCCCCTGGGAGGAGGCAGATCA